GCCGCTGCCATCTTAAGAGCGGCGAGGCGCCGCGACGCCATCTTGAGTGGGGCATCCTCCCCCCGCCATCGCGGGCGGCGCATGCGCAGAATCTCCCGCCGTGGGCGCCTCCTTCCTGTTGGAGCCGCCGCGTGCTCTGCCTCAGCGTCACCACGGGAAAACCTCCAAAAATTGCCCAAACCTTTGAAAAATCCGAGAACAAAAGCTGGCCTTTCAGTGATATGTGATTTCTGTGCTTTTTTTTTTGTGATTTTTTTCCACACTACCCGTTTCCCCGCCTCTCGCGCTCCCGCAGTTCCCCTTTCCCCTCGGAGCAGCTCAGGCTCGGCCGGCTCCGCTGCCCCGCGGTCTCCGCTGCCCTCTGTATCCGTGCGGGTCGCCCGAGGCATCCCGCCTGCCCTGGTGCTGGCCTGGCTCTCCCCTTGGGCCCCTGAGGCCAGCCAGGCCCGTGGGCTTCCTCAGCGGCCGCACGTAGGGGCAAAAACCAGAGATTGTGAATAAATATCAAATATTTCAGGAAACTGAAAAGTAAAACCTGCCCCTTCCGCCAGACCACATGGGTATGTTTGTAGCGGGGCCAAGCAGGAGGTGCAAAAACCATCAGCAACTAGTTACAATAGCAGCAAATGCTTTATAAGGCGAGGGATTAACCTGCTGGCGCTGTTGAACCTGTGTGTGATAGTGTCCAAACCTCGAAAAGATTGTCCTACCGTGCTAACGAAGAGCTCAATGTGTAGCAGATTGCCACCAATGCTATAAAATAAAACAGTAAAACCCATTCGTTTAAGATCAGATTGTGAACCAGCAGATGGGGCTGCAAAGGTGAATTAACCCCTGCTTGTCTAATGGGCAGCTTTCATTTAGCTGCTTTGGCAGCTCCTACAAAGATGATCTGCAAATAAAATACAACAGGGTAATGGTAAGGAGCCAAATACAAGAGGTCAGAGGTGTTTTGTACTCAGAAGCTACCGTTTTTGATTTATCCTGCAGCATAAAGTGTATGGGAAACAATAAAAAAGATCCTGGGATTCATCCTGGGATTCAACTGCAGAGGAATCTTTGAAAGACTCCAGAAATCTTAACACAGATGCAATGCTAAAATGCTTCCTATTAAGAGCCACATCTGAAACAACATAGTGTGCATGCAGTAGAAGTAATAACGAGATCATTTTTCATATACATGTGAATAATAATCTGATATTTGCTTATACATATATATATATATAGAGAGAGAGAAAGAACATCTTGTACCTTTACGGCTAATACCGTTTCTGCATGGAGAAATTTGATGTGTTAAAATGACTATTTGGCTTCGCTACCACTTGCATACCACGCGCTGGTCGTGGTGGACCCTACACACAAAATGGGCCAAGTTGCAGGCTCCCTCGTCCTGCCCGTCACCCTCCACAGAACAAGCATCGCGCAGAGGCGCCTGGCACGTGTGGCAGCACCCAAATGCTGACCGAGCTTGTGGCAGCTCAAGAGAAGCCGTCACCTTCCACCCAACACGATCCGCCCTCCTCCTGCTGCGTTGTTGGTCCTGGCCAGCCCGCCCTTCCTGACAGCCCCAGGCTCATTGCACAGAGCACCGGAGCCTTCAGAAAGTCACATAAAAGAAGAGCTGTACCTGGGCTGAACTAAGTGAATAGGAAAATGGCAAGGATAACTGAGAAAAGTGATATAAGTCTCAGCAAGCCCTTCATTATAAAAACAAAGGGAAGGATAATGACTGAATAATTCTCTTTGGGCATATAAAAAACCACTGGTATAGAGAAAAAGTGTGCAGACTAGAGAGACCCAGGCAACATGACTTCTAACAATGCCGAAATTATCCTTTTGCCTTTTTTTTTTTCCCCCTAGTGACTAACTCGGTTTTCTTTCTTCTTCTGTTTTATTTCTTCTTAGAGCCATTTTCCATGAGACTCTACTTCCACCAGGTGGGAAATCCATAGTCGGCTGCAACACGTTAGAAAAGCTCCAACCAGCTCCTTTTGATGGTTTTGGTGCTGAGAGGACAAGTAAGCTGGTATCAGCTGCATGAAGCGGAGGCAGAACCTGGCGTTTTAGAAGTCATTGTGTTCTACAACGTTATATCTTGTGGCTAGATACCTGGAGCATTTTTGACAGTTGGGTCTCCATGGAAATAAGTGCACTAAGACAGCAGCTATTTTAAGACCTTAAAGTCTTAAAAGTAAGCTAGAAGGTTGAGGTTAGGAGTTGCATCTGGGAAAAATCTGTCAATTTTTGGATAATTCACTCCCCTCCATTCCTTCCACTTGCACTAGCAGAACTAATTTAATTGGACAGTAACACAGCCTGCAGAAAAATGTAGCAAAAGCAGCAGCATGTGTGGTTTGGAAATAGAAAGTCTTGGGCTGAGGGCTGCCTGAGGAGGCAGCAGCTTGTGTTTGGTCCCAGCTGCCTGAGGGAGCTGGGGTTATTCAGTCGGGAAGTCTCAGGGGAAACCTTATCACTCTCTACAAGTACCTGAAAGGAGGCTGTAGGGAGGTGGGGGGTTGATCTCTTTTCCAGAATAAGTACGGATAGGATAAGAGGAAACGGCCTCCAGTTGCGCCAGGGGAGGTTCAGGTTAGACATAAGGAAGAATTTCTACAGGGAAAGAGTAGTCAAGCATTGGAACTGGCTGGCTAGGGAAGGGGGGGGGGCACTGTCCCT